ATATCATGTAAACATAAGAAGATGAGACAAACAAAGTTTAATTAGATAAATCTGATTTCTTACTTATTTTTATTTTATGAGGTACAAACTGCAGTGAAGCGTATCTTAACTAATACTTTTTTATAGATGATATTCTTGGCATATGTTCATTTCATCTATTTTGATTGCTCTGTCATGACCCGGACTCTTTGTTGACATTGATATGCTCTTGAGTGCAACGTAAAATTGGCCATGTGAGAAAACATATTGTGGTAGATACGTTAGAAATTGTTTGACCATATATTTATTTATCATCATTGCAAAATATAAACGTACAATAAATTATTTTTGAACTACTTTAAAAGATATCCTTCATTTGGGGGGGTGGGGGGTTGTTGAGAGGGAGACCTTTGAATTTTTAGGATAAAAATATACTTGGTATCAGATTGACCCGCTATAATTTTTGCATGTATGATATTGTCCGGTTTAACATCATTCATTTTTTTAAAAGCTCACCATCTTTTCGGCAAATTCTGCGTGATAAAGTAGCATTTATATTGATTACATCGATATTTTAAGATTACAAATTGCATAAATATCATTAACTTATTCTAGTAGGTCAATGATTATTTTTTATTAAAATTTGTTTGATTTTAACTTACCTTTCATTTGTAACTATTATCTCTATTATCTTGCTTCGTTCTTCTCAAATAAGTGATTTCGCTGTTACTAACATGCAAACTACATGACACACACGTTATGTTGTATTACTTTGCTAACATAAACTCAAGAATTGAAAAATGATATTGTTATCATTAAACAAATAATGACAATTGTTAAGCCAACTCTCGGGGATAATTTCAAAATTTTATGAAGTTTCTCCATTTTCTTCAAAGAATATAAAAAGGAGAAAAATGTCCATGAAAACCTACCTTGCAAGAAGGTTTCATATCAAAAAGAGATATAAACCAAAATCATAGACTTTTTTATTTTAAATTTCAGTAATCTCTCATTTTAGGTTGTCTGTTATTTTCTTATTTTGTATTTTAATTGATATGCCTGCACAAAAATAAAACGTTCGCCGTTAGACTTCAAGGTTGTAAAGAGTCGCTAGCTTCACTAATATAAAGGATCATATATTTTCAAATAAATTTAGTGTCTTATTTAAAATTTGATGTTTTATTTAAATTCTTGGTATAAGTTGGGTATTTAGGTTATTTAAAAGGGTATTTAAGTAATTCAACTTTTTAGTTAAAAGCTTTTCACTTTTATAGTAATATAGATATATAAGTTTGAGGCCTTTTATTATGGTTTAATTTTAAGCCACCAACTCTATTTAGCCACTCTTGGTTTCTGTGGGTCTTAACTACAATGCTTTGCAAACAAAAATTCTTCTAAAGAAAACCAGTAAAGATAGAAATGATCCTTACCGGTGAAACCATGAATTCTCCTTAGGAGAATACTTCCCAATCACATGCATGTAACTGAAGGGAAAATGGTTAACAAGTACTAAAAGTACCGTAAATGATTAACTAAAAGTACAAATTAAAAGTCAAAGCATTATGTCCTTGATCAAACGGTAATTAGTATTACGTGTGCAGTGTACCCTTTAATTAATAATAATATTCGGACAATCTGAAATAAAATCAACGGTACGTGCACCAACATCAAGTTTTCAATACTTGAACAAAGCTGGATCATTTAGAGATCATTCTCTTCTAGCATGTTACCATATTTGTTAAAGGGTGTACATGCACCAGGTTGATTTGGATTTTATCAAAACCAAACTAAACCAATTATATCGGTTTGGATTGGTTCAAATTTTTTAGGTTTTTTTGTTATATGAATATTATTTCAATCTTGCATTATTAAAGTTATAGATAAAATTTTGATAAGTGAATATGTGTTTACTAAAAATTAAAAAAAATAACAAACATATGATCTATTAAAGTGATCTTATGGGAGAATTATTTTTAGTAACAATTAATAGTTTATTTTCTTAGTCGTCTATCAATAATTTTTGGTTGATGTACGCTTTCAAGGTTAACCAAATTTAATAATTACATAAAAATCAATATGATACCTAAATAATGATATGTTCTATGTAATTTTAGATTATCGAAATATCACTTCAAATTCGAAAAACATAGTATAATAAATCTTGACATATGAATATAAAAGAACAAAGAGATGATTGACGCATTTCAATAAACACATAATAAGAAAGTGACACAAACTATTATTTAAAGTAAATCAAAATGAATGCATTTTATAGTTCTATTAAATATTATATCCCATGAGAGGATCTCAAATATTTTTAGATATTTTTAAATAAAATTCTATATAAAAAATTATATATTTATATGTCGGTTTGGTTCGGGTTGTTTTACTCAATACCAAACCAAATCAAACCAAACCTAGCCGGATTTTTTAATCGATTTGATTTGACTTTTCGGTTTGGTGCGATTTTCCGATTCGGTCCGTACACCCCTAATATTTGTTATCACCTTAGTTCTCTTTCTTTGAAAAGAAAAAAAAAAACCAAGTTAACTTTAGCAATTCCTTGACGTTGACTATCATTTATTTGTATTAATTAATTAAAGTAGGATAACTTTTTTTCCCCCTATAATAATAAAAGTCATCATCTTCCTTTGCCCTCAAACTATGCCTACAAATTTTACTTTATTCATAAGATCGCTTACACGTAAAACTATGTCCTTTGTTTTCTTTTTAAAAAACAAATAAGAGAGTCAAAGGCCCGGGACGGCAAGATTAACTGTTAACGGTTGTAGTCGGCAGCCATCTTCGAGATAATTTATTGATGCAAGATAATAAAAAATGCATACAGTTAACGATTTATGTGTTGTAATTAAATTAGATATATGTTTAACTAATTCTGCATGAAAATGTCAGCTAATGTTATGTTCTTATATATAAATTCGTGAGTGTTAAATATACATGTAAAGGTTTTATTTTGTAAAGTTAAGTTGCCCCTTTTTGTACGCTGTAAAGGTTCTATTTTGAAAATTTTACCACCTATAGCAAAGATATACACCCTATTTATTATAAACTAAAATTATTTTAAAATATTATTTTCTATAGCTATCTTTTATATTTTATAGCAAAATAGATATTTATGGTATATACTACCATTGAGCCATGAAATACGCTGTTTATGTTTTTCCTCTCTCTTTCTTTCAATTGACACACGATTCTCTCTCAGATATTTTCTTCTTTTTCTCTCTTTCTTTTCTCTCTCTTTGAGCAAAAGGCCGAATCATAGATACACGAAAGAGAAACAAATCATGAAAGAAAGCCTAAAAATCACAAAATCAGAAACATGAAAGTAAACCTATAATCAAACAAAGAAAGCGGAGATACCTTGGGCGACAGAGAGATTGAAGAGAAAGAGAGATTCTTAGCGTGGTAAGTAAGAGAGAAAAGTGGAAGAAGCGGTCGAATTGAAAGCGTTATAAATTGTAGTGGAAGAGGTAGTGAAGCGATACAAGGAGTCTTGACCGGAAAACACCATCTCCGAAGAACTTTCTTCTCTTCTTTACTATTTAGTCACATACAATGATACAAATACATTATATTCTGTACAAATTCACTCAAACACATTGTATTTTTATATAAATATATTTTTTTGCCTGTGTTTATGTATTTTGAAGGTCTGTATTTTTTAATACAACTGAATACACCTGTATTCATGCATATGGTACATACAGTATGCATGAATACAGGATATAAACATTGAAATACAATGAATACAAACATTAAAATAGAACAGAATATAAACAGTGAATACATTTAATTTTAAAATATAGTGAAATACAGTAAAGTACACTGAATACAAATAGAAAATACAGTGAATACAACCAATGAACTATACTGAATATAGGAGTAATAACACGTATTAGGAATAACTAAAATACTGTTAACACAAATACATTTGTATACACTAAATTTAAAATAGCGAATACAGTAAATACAAACATTGAATCTAATGAATGCAACAGTAAAAATAAATATTGAAACACACTAAATACAAAAGTTAAATACAACAGTTATATACAACTGAAAAATCATTCTAATTAATTAGGTTGATAATGAGGCATGTTAGAATTGATTTTGTTGAATTATATTAGGAGTGTATCACGCTAAATGATATTATTTCCGTTATTAGACAGTTGGACAGACCTATTTTTAAGGTGATTGTCGTTACTGTATTCATGAATACATGGCGCGAATACATGTGAATACATGCGCGTACAGTTAGGCTGCCCTGATTTTTAGGCGCTTTTTACTGCTGTATTCATGAATACAGCAGCGCGAATACAGCAAATACACTATCGTAACAATTGAATAATAGTTATAGAAAGTAATTATGTATATGATAGCTATATGAAATTAATAGCTATTAAACAATAGTGGTTTCTGAAAATTCCTCCTTTATTTTAGGTATGTTTAAGGGCCTATTTTTTGTAAGGGAGTGGGATTGGGTAATCCAAAATCCCGAAAGTTGGAACTGCAGATGTTTTATCCTCTTCCTAATAATGTAATTTTTGTGACTGGAATGAAAGGACCACGTCACCAAACGGCGCAATTTTATTTAATATGTATATCTATATATATATATATTAGAAACATTGATGATAATTTCCTTTTAAAAATATTTTCTTAATGTATTTGACTAACTTCAAGTCTTCAATATATTCTTTAATTTGAACTGTTGAATTCAAAAGTGACAGCAACAAACGTAGGCTCATCTAAGGCAAAATGCATTAGAAAAAGGGACGTCGCTAATAACATGAAAGTATTTATTTAATCAATTATTTGGTGATTAATACTAGCAATGGAGAATGCTTCTGTTGTGGGGAAGCAATGCCTCACAAAGACATTGACCTTGTTGTTTAAATTAATAAATATTATTCTGTCACCGTCCATTTACCTTACTCTAACTGCTACATTGGTTTTACTTCTTTATGTTTTTTAGAACATTTGACATTCAATAAGGTGAGAAATTTTTTGGCTATAAAAAGGGTGTTCATGTCAATATTTTCTAGACCACCAAATTAAAACAGTGCCAGCCTCAAAAAGATAGGATCTGTCTGCTATTGTCTAAGTCTGTTTAGTTTTTGTGTTTTGTCATTTTATTACTACAACAAATGACTATTCCGGTGATTGATTTCTCAAAGCTTGATGGAGAGGAAAGAGCCCAAACTTTGGCTCAGATTTCCAAAGGATGTGAAGAATGGGGATTCTTTCAGGTATTTTCTGCAATATATATACTTATATTTTTTATTTTGGAAGTTCAAAATATGGCTTGTGTTTCTGTAATTTTTTTTTTTTATATTGGTCGTCACCAAAGGGTTAAAATATTAAAAGGGTCATCGCCTAAAGGCTTATAGTAAGCAAAAGGAAAGTTACTTGATTTCTCCCTTGCCCCCAACTCAACAATATTAAAACCCTTTATTAATTTCTTATTTTGCATTCTCATTTTCTTCTTTTTTTTTACTTTGGTAAATGTATTTATTGGTAAATCCTCAACGAAATGTTTGTTCTCTTGACATTTTTTTTTTTTTGAATTTTCTCCTGCTAAACAAATAATGTCTTGCTTATTCAGTAGTGAGCAGGTTGAAAACATTTTTTCTGATCGCATCACCCATGAAAATGGGCCTCATAACCTATATTTTGACAGTAAACTTCAGCTTTTTTCAAAAAAAAAAATCTTTTTGTATAGTTATACTATAAATGTCTGTGTGAACTTGCTCATATATATTGCCGGTCTCAAGTCTGGATAAACTGCAGTTGCAGTTTGATTGATTGCTAGCATAAAACTAGCAAATTTATAATGAATCCTCCTTACAATGACGACATGGTCAGCGAAGATTCATACAAATTGAGGGCATTGTTAGGTTCTTATTGTTGTTGATAGTTATTATATGAATAAATCTCAAGGAAAATGACAAAAATTTTCTGCAGTTGGTGAATCATGGGATACCAGTGGAGCTGCTTGAGAGGGTGAAGAAAGTGTGTGCAGAATGCTTTAAGCTGGAAAGAGAAGAGGCTTTCAAGAATTCAACACCAGTCAAGTTGCTTAATGAGGCGGCCGAGAGCAAGAACATTAATAATGGCAATTATAAGGTTGAAAATGTGGATTGGGAAGATGTCTTCCTTCTCACTGATGACAATGAATGGCCCTCCAACACTCCTGAATTCAAGTAAGTATCAATTTTATTCACTATAACAGTAATGTTACAAAATTTTGACCGTCTGATGTTAAATAACAGGGAAACGATGAAAGAATATAGATCAGAAGTGAAGAAGCTAGCAGAGAGTGTGATGGAAGTAATGGATGAAAACTTAGGCTTACAAAAAGGATCAATCAAGAAAGCCTTCAATGAAGGAGAAGGAGAAGGAGACAATAATGCTTTTTTTGGAACAAAAGTGAGCCATTACCCACCTTGCCCACATCCAGAAATGGTAAATGGCCTAAGAGCTCATACTGATGCTGGAGGTGTGATTCTACTTTTCCAAGATGATCAAGTTGATGGCCTTCAAATCCTTAAAGACGGCGAATGGATCGACGTCTTGCCTCTCCCTAACGCCATTGTTATCAACACAGGTGATCATATTTTTTTTAATATGGCAGTGTTTGATAGCCGAGGGTCTATCCGAAACAGACCATCTATCTCACAGGGTAGGGGGCGTACATCCCACCCTCCCCAGATCCCACTTGTGATGTTTGATTGGGTTGAAGTTTAAGAAAAAAAGAATTTCTTTTTGGTTACATACCAAAGATACAAGTTCTTAAACATGTGATATTTGTGTCTTACTATCAGCTTTTTGATTTCCTTCCCTATATATATATATATATATATACACAGGTGATCAAATTGAAGTGCTTAGCAATGGGAAGTACAAGAGTGTTTGGCACAGAGTTATGTCTAAACCAGATGGGAATAGGAGATCTATTGCTTCCTTCTATAATCCTTCTTTGAGAGCTACCATTGCTCCTGCACCAGAGCTAGTGGAGATGAAGGATAAGAAAGAAATGGAATTAACTAATTATCCAACTTTTGTGTTTGGAGATTACATGGATGTCTATACTGAGCAGAAGTTCCTTCCTAAAGAACCAAGGTTTCAAGCTGTCAGAGCAATGTGAAGAAGGGCTAATATATATAAATAGCTTTCTCTCCATTGTTTGGTTCATTGTAGAAATATTTCAATCTTCATATAAAGCAGTACATATATAGTAATCGTGTGGCTGCTTTTTATGGGTTGTTGGTATTTCCTTTTTCTTTTCTTTTTTCCTCATGTATTTCTTAAAATGTATCTATCAATTCTGTCTTTGTAAACTTTAACTTTCATAGATTTGCTTAGCCATCCTTTATTTATTTAAAAGCTTTGGTGAAAGTTTACATACAACGTAGCATTTATGAAAAAGTCATATATTTTGTTTAACTGTACTATCCCTCGAATTCATTTAAACCCAATTTTTATAAGCCCAGATGATTTATGCATACTTCTTTTTCTGTTGTTGAATCCTTTTGTACTAAATATGAACGTACAGTAGTTTATTTTAAAATAAATTAGGCCAAAATCTTTGTTTTTTTAATTGCTCTGCTACACTTAAAAGCACATTTCCCCCCTCANCTTTGTAAGCTTCAACTTTCATAGATTTGCTTAGCCATTCTTTATTTATTTAATAGCTTTGGTGAAAGTTTTTACATGCAACGTAACATTTATGAAAAAGTCATATTTTGTTTAACTGTACTATCCCTCGAATTCATTTTAAAATAAATTAGGCCAACATCTTTGTTTTTTTAATTGCTCTGCTACACTTAAAAACACTTTTTTCTCTCAAAAGCTTGACCAAACATTATATCTCTCCAAGACAAACTATTCTCACAAAAAAAAAAAAAAAAAAAAGCACTTCTAGTTCCATCGCAGCTTGGCCAAACAAAGCTATGAGAATTAGAAGAAGATGATTGTGAATCAGTAAACTCGAAAATCCCAGAAAAAAATTAGAGCTAAGCTGAGAGCTTCAAAAGACTCTTGCAAAAATGTCTCAGCCAGATGTGTAAAGATTGGAACTTTGTAATTAACCATGTGAAAATAGTGCTGTACAAATTTCTTACTTTGAAAAATAAAATTAACAAGATAGCTAAATAAGAGGGTAAAACCTGACTGAATATCAGAGAGCGACAGTAGATATAACCGTATAGACTCTTACTCACTATTGTAATTCTTTTGCTCTTACTTAAATGACTGTACAGTAATTTACATGAATGAAAGGACTAAATCTCAATAGCTTCAGAGTGCTTTCTGGTCTAGTCTTTCGTTCCAATTTAGACAACGAATCAAGCTACGAAACCAATCACCTGTCTGATCAGACTTGTTAACTGTAGGTAGTGGATGCTGACTCATATATATGCGAACAGAATCTCCTCTAGAGAGTTGCTGCCTTCTCTTCCCATCAAAGGAGACCCAAGCATTGCTACGTGCATCCTCTGGAATCTGTTCATATGCAAAAAGCTTATAAGATTACGGAATAGACAATAGGCTTTGAGCTTCCCACGAGAGATCTCTCTCTCTGCAAACACACCTATCCTTGAACAGTGTCGTAACGTGGATATCTAGTACCACAAATGGCTCGGGCTAACTAGGCCAGTTGGACTATTTCACTAGCACAACTACTGCTCATCCCCTTTTGTTCTTGTCACTACTAGTACCTGACTCCATCGGCTCGACATTTGTGCAAACAACAACCCGTACTTAATAGGTCAATTCCAAAAGGACGAGGATAGCTGGCTACCGCTAAAACTCAGACTAAGGGTACGCAGACTAAGGGTACGCATTGTATGACTGAAAACTACCACATACTCCCCATGCTTGAAGGTCTGACAAGTGACAAGTACCTTCTCTCCACCAGCTGGTTCGATCAATGTTAAGTCTGCCTATGCCCACATCTTTTATAAAAGCAGCTCTAATGCCTTCACATGGAACTTGCTACACTATAGGGCATTGGTAGCATCTTCAGTAATGAAAATGTTAACATCTGTGAAGGTTTCCATCATTAAATGCAGGTTTGACCCAACGAAGTGCACTCAGCTACCAAATAGTTTAATACACATGGTATATGGAACTAAGTTACGCCATCTCACCCTAAGCTTTATGACGAGTTAGATTTTCTATAGAAGATTTCCCAATAGTTCTCATTCACTAGGGCTCAAGAGACACAAGTTTAGAACTGAACTCATTCTGATTCACGCACAATGTATGACGCTACTAAACCCTAATGTGATGCTTAGGAGATTCTGGAAGTGAAACCTTGAACACCATTCTCTAGTAAGCCTTGTCAGCTTTGTTAATATTTCTAACGATTCTTCTCTTTTACCGCCTCTAAAGCAGTACTTATCCCTTTTTTTAAATGAAGTAATTGGTTTCATTGCAGGCATCAAGAAGATGCAAAATAGTTACCAAAGAGATATAGCAAAAAAGGAGGTTTGCTAGCTCCAATACAGATGTTCAAGCTAATACTGGGAAGCTAGAAAAATTCAAATAACTATTAGGGGAATCTAAAAGCAGTACTCATCCCTTGCCAATAATAGAATCGAACTAACCAAACCATTTGTAAGAAGCAGCCATATTACTGCTCAAAAACTTAAAAACAGCTGTGGACCTTTTCCACAGCACCAACCATATTATCTAAAAAGAATATTTGCTAGTTAACTGCACCTTATTAAGATCCAACAATTTTAGCTGATTCAGCTTAGGTTTAAGAGTTTCCCATTTACAGGTGCAACACCTAGAGAAGACCTGAACAATCCACATACTTGATCTATATGGCTATCAAGAACATTATAATTAATCTCTTTGTTTTATACTGTGCAATGTTGGTCTCCAGATCTAGCCTAAAGACTTTGACAAAAAGTGTCTACATATCATGAGGTTTTTATGTAATAACATACACTGTCACTTCAGCAACCTGTGTCCTCACCTATTGCCAGACTTGGGAACAAGACGATAAATTCAATAGGATGTATATCCCCCAAATTACTTGATCGATCCTCACTTTTTTTAACCTTCTTAGCTTGCTTCCGCCTTTAGTTTCCTCTATATTTTTCTTTCATCCCAAGAGATATACCATTCTGGAAAAAATGTTCTAATTAGGCTTCCCTAGAAAATTATTTTTGGATATCACTTATATTATATACAAAAAAGGTCAAGACAGCTAAGATGACATACAGGAACTACATATTTCTTCCCTCTTGCATGTAATAGTGATCACATATTTCCAGACTTTTTTTACCATCATATACAAATCCGTGAAGCCAAGGAAAAAGATTAGCAGCACTAAAGAAGGAATAAAGGTCCTATTCTTCTTCCATTTTAGTTGGAAAATACTGTAAATTGTATTAAAGCATTTGGTTAGGAAATGAGAATGTATTAGCACAAACTAGTAAAGAGAATATTTTTTGATACGTAAACTAGTAATGAGATTCTTTTCCAATAATCATAAAATATATAGAGAGACAGTCACCTTTAGTTCTAGTATTGCAGAATCTGGAAGTATGACAGGCCTAAACGAGAGAGAATGTGGACAGATTGGTGTAAAGAGCATGCATGGAACATTGGGATGCACCTGCATGACATAAATTACCCTGTCATATAATGTTTACGCATTCACTAACTTAAGGCAAAACAACTAATAATTGTTGGCAGGATGAACGATGGTTCAAAGAGTAAGATATCATCACCAATAAGATCAGCAGCAAGTCAGTATAATTTTCAAAATTTCCCTTCAAGAGTAGATCGTTAATAACATCTATCAGAATCAAATTTAAGAGCAAAGGCCTTCTTGTCACAAAATTGCAACTTAAAGTTTTTGTTATTATAATAAATACAATGTTAAAAAGGAAGCTGAAAAACAGGTTTATATATGTAATGGTAAGTCAAGTGGTATGACAACGCTCGCTTCTATAGTAGAATTTTCCGTCATTACTGCTTTTGATGCCTAATAGAAATCCCCGAAATGAACAAGGAAGTTGTTTAATACAACTATTGCCTATTTGGAACATTTACCATAAAAGGGTGATGCCTATTCATTTATTTACTATAAATTAAAGTATGACGGGGGTAATTAACCCAACTCTGTCAATAATTCTTATAAGTCATACTTGCGAAGTGTATATTTGACAACGAAGTGCACAGCGTCTTTTTTTATTTTTCATGTTTTCCATCTTCGTGTTTTCCTTGCTTTAATCTGGGGGCAGGAAGAGGTTAGTTGGTGTGTTCTCTCCCTTTCGGCCTTTAGTAACTTTGTTCAGTTTCTATTGCTGCCACATCAAACTGCTAGAGCTTTAAGCCTCAACCTTCTGATTTGAGTTTTAAGGGTCTCACTTTTCACTTGGTCTATCAACTCTAATGCAGCATATCACAACATTTATTCGTAAGTGATGTGTATCAGAAGTACCATGGAACCCCCAGCAGCTGTCGAGTAAGCTGTACTTCCAGTTGGAGTGGCCACAATGACCCCATCACCTTGCACCTGCCAAATAATATAAGGCAGTATGACATGATTATTCTTTGATCTCTTGATCATCAATTCAGCAGAGCACTTGTTCGATTTTCTAGAAGAAACATGATCTAAAATATTAAGATAGAATGTTCCTCTTCTAAATCTTTTGGCAAGGATTGACTGTTAAGAATAAAAACGGCACCTTGGTAATGAGGCGGTCATGTTCATAACACTCTATTTTGGACAGGTATGGATTAGAACCACGATCAACTACAATTTCATTTAGGACGTCAAACACCTTTCCAGGCATTGCTTTCCCGCTTCGGAATATTTCGCATCGGAGACGCATTCGTAGAGTTATATACACACCATCTAGAGTGTTGTTTCCATGGATGACTTGTCTAAGATCCTTCTTATAATCTTCAAACTGTACAAATTGATGACAGAGAAGTAAAAGATAGAGTATTTTTATATAACAAAGAAATAAAGCATAACATTTAAGTTGAGAGGCATACTGGATGGGAAGTGAGAAATCCAAGGGATCCTAGGTTAAATGAGATGACAGGTGGGACAGCACCTCGAAATATATTTGACGCATGGAGTATCACACCATCTCCTCCCAAACAGGCAACAAAGTCAACCCTCTCGTGAAGATCACTGCATTTGGTACATCAGGCAAGGTCATACATCTCTTTGTGAAGTACCAGAGAGGGGAAAAAATGAAAAGGACAATGCTTTTGCACGTACAGTTTATTAGTCATCCCACCTGGTATCTTGACTATAGAAGGTCTGAACAAACCCAAAGCCTGGGATTCGTGCAAAAATATCATGCACCTCAGG